AAGGGTTTGTGCGGGGAGAAGGGTGCAACAATGAATGAATGGAATCCCAAAATCTCTGTAGATGTTCATTGAAATGAAAAATAAACAACCTAAATAAAAAAAAAAAATAGAAGATAGAATCATCATGTTTGCAGTTTAAAAACGATAGTCAGGTAGAGCAACTTCAAATGATTTCTTAGGTCTCAACAACTATATTAATATTTTCTAATGAATAAATTATTACTAGTCATGATATTTCCCATATCCTTCTTAGAAAGCATTTTGATTTATAAAGTAGGCTGTTAATGAAGAGCCAGATTACAGAAAGACACTTTCAAATCCTTTTAAATTAAGGAGGTAAAAACATACTCACATACACACACAAACTTTCTCTCTCTCTCTCACACACACACACACACACACACACACACACACACTCTGAGCCCTGGTAGCATAGTGTGTCACATGCAAGGCTGCTAAATTCAAGGACAGTGGTTTTAATCCACTAGCCTCTAGTCTCTGTGGCAGTTCTGCTTCTATAAAGAATCACAAAAATGGCAGAAGTTAGAGCAGGGGTTCGAGGTTGGGGTAGAAGAGATTCTGTGAGGATTTAAAGAGATGATATGATGATAGGCTTCGGTCAGCAGTAATTAATGAAGTAAAAATGGAATGTATGTGGATGATTGTATAAATCACAATGTGTCCAAAAGTTTTTATGGAAACCAAAAAAACCCAAAAAACCAAAAACCCAACAAAACACACAAACAATGAGATAGTAAAAAAAAAAAAATTATACAGCTTTGGAAACTGCTGAAGGGTAGCCAAGTGTTACAATTGACTCAAAGCAGTTGGTTTAGGGTTTTGTTTATGTTTTGTCGTGTGTGTGTGTGTGTGTGTGTGTGTGTGTGTGTGTGTGTAAGCAGAAGTGGCATCCACTTCCTAAACAACATGGCTCTGTAAACTCTATGAAGTTTGAGAATTATAGAACAGAGTTCAGGTCTTTTGTTCATAGGGTTACTATGAATTGTACTCAAAACAACAAATACACACACACACACACACACACACACACAGAGTGAAGCAGAACAGCTTTCCTTGAATATAGCTGTTAATTGCTCTTTTCATAAAGTCTGAAAAGGAGCTAAAACATTGCTGTAAATTGATGCTACTATTTTACCAAAAGTAAAAAAAAAAAAGTTTATATAGAGGAATCCTGCTTATAAAAACCTAAAAGCTACTGCCATGTCAATTCTTACTCACAGTGGCTTTATAGGACAGAGGATGTACAATGTTGTAAATCAAAGCAGAGGCCGACTACCACAGTTTCTTCCATGGAACAACCGCTGGGTTCACTTAGCTGCCCAGTGCTTTAACTGCTGTGCTACCAGGGTGGTTCTGAAATATTTGTGTTGGAAAGAACCTGTTGTGTTGTCTAGTGGCCAGAGATTGTAACAACATAATTAGTTAGATCAGTAATTATGCTCATGAAGGTATTTACACATTTCTGTAAATAGGGTTTTGTATTTAATATGATCAGTTATAATTCCAACAGTCATATAAATCTTCAATCAATGCATAAATATGTTATAGCAAATATTATATATTACAAATGTGATAAATAGTACATTGCAAGATACAAAAGTTTGCCATTGTTCATTGTTCTGATTTACAGAATTAAAAACTAGAAAATGGGATAAAATTTGAATTAATAAAAATATTGGTAAAATGCAGTTATTATCTGTTTAATTTACTTGTAGTCCACACACTGTGTGTGTGTGTGTGTGTGTGTGTGTGTGCGCGTGCGTGAAAAAGATATGTAAGAATATTTGTTTTATTTTGCTGGTAAGTATAGTGGTTCACATAACTTGACTAAATGTTTGATTAAAACAAGTATACTTGATAGAATAAATACTAAATTATTTTAAATGCATCATTGAGCTGATAAGAATGAAAAGAAATTCAGAAGGCAAAAAAAGAAAGTGAAAACCTAACATGACAAGCAGAGTACTGAAACTAGCATTTATCTTGGGGAATTTTTTGTATTCAGTATTGCCTGGCCTTGTGGGCGTGAAACAAAGATCTGGGCCTATCCAATTAGGAGGATCATGTGTAACTCCTCTATATAAACATAAAACACCAAGGCTTTTCTGCATTCATTGTAAAAGTGAAATGGAAATAATGCCTACTAACAAAAAACTTTAGGAAATTGAAAGAAATATTAGCTGTCTTGGAACTTGACAGTGATTAAAGGGAAGAAAGTGAGTTCTGTAAAGATTCATAATTATAACAAGTGATTAAAGATTCATAATTATAACAAGTGATTGCTTGAGTTTTTGGTACATAATTCATATTACCTGCATGGTTAATATAATTCCATGTTAAGAAATCCTTATATAATTTAATTTTGTGGTTGATACAATTTCCAGTCACTTTGCAGAAGCAGATACATATTCACTTTGAATAATTCCATTTTTAAACCATACCTCAATAAATTCTCAGAGGTAAAGAAATCTACCAATTATGAATTAACAGAAAAAAATACACCTCCCACAAAATAGGCAAGGAAACAAAACATCATGCATATGAAACAACAGAAAAAAAGATTGGAGAATTGGAGAATGAAGGTGATCAATATTTTAGAAATAAAAATGAAATTTTATTTACTATTCATGAAGTAATAAAAGAAATGAAATAAAATATGGGGAAATTTTTTAAAACAAAATTTAGTATTTGAAAAAAGATCTAGAAGTGAAAATATATTTATTAGCATTTGAGACATTTTACATATAAAGAAATAGAAACTATCCAGACTATGTCACAAAGAAGCAAAGGGATAGGAACTATGAAAGAAAAATTAAGACTTACAGAGGACAGAGTAAGATGATCCAACATGCATTTAGTTGTAGTTTCAGAGGGACGATGGAATAGAAGTGTGATACCCTTTCCTCACTTATCGTCATAGTTAGATTCAAAAGGCATTACTGAAACCTGTGTTATATAAAGACTGATAATGGCTATGTCAGTGTATAACTGAGGAATCACTGAGAATGATGTACCAGCCAAGCTGACACATGATATTAATTACAGCCAATCTTACTCACATCTTTCAATTGGCATTTGTTACAGCCAATTATTAATGTGTCAAATGGTTAGAAAGCAGAATTTTTACAATTGTTATAAATGTGAAATATTAGATAATGAGGTAGCCAGTATATGTGGAGAATTTATATTTGAAAATTTATTGCCTAAAAAAAAATTTATTGCCTGAGAATTTTTCCAGAATGTATGGAAGTTATCAAAGCACAAATTATTGAAGCCCAGTTTATCCAATCTGTACTAAAAAAATTTATAACAAGTTTGGAAAATGCCAAAGACTAATAGAAACGTTTTCAGGAAACCTGAATGAGAAAAACAAAAACAAGTAAAACAATAACAAAAATATTTGAAAAAAAACAAAACTATGCCATAGCCAGTAAGTACTGAGTCAGACTGTTAACCCAGCGGTGATACCTCTCTGGCTATTTGAATCTACCAGCCACTCTATGGGAGACAGAAGGGAAGTCTTCTGTACAAATCAGCTATGTTACAACTGAAGAGCAATAAGTTTGAATTTGAGTTTTGATAATTAGAATAAGAATTTTTATTTCATGGTAACAGTGAGAAACAGAAGATAGTGGAGTAATCATGATAGTGAGCTGGGGACCGGGAGCCTCTCATTGGAGCCAGTCAAGGCCTGGTGCATTGGCCTGGGTTTTTTAAAAATTCGCTTGAGACTGAGTCTTCAGTTGATGGCGCATATATGTAGCTGTTAGGTTTTAAAAGGAGAGTTGTCCTTGTTTTAGCTGAAAGTTGGCTGTGGACAGTTTGGTTGGCTTTATTTTATTCACAACCATGTGTGAGTTTATTGGATTGCATGGTTTTGGATAGTGAGCTAAGAGGAAAGGAATCCAATTAAACTACAAAACTGTGACCCTAAAATTCTATTAATAGTGGGAATATATTTTAAAAAGTAAATTAACAAAATGTTATAGTTTTTCACTAATCCTTATATACATAAAAGTTGGTCCATTTTCTTCAAGCAGAAAGAAAGTGAGCCCTGATGGTAATTCTAAATAGCAGAATGATTGATAAGTAAAGAAAATTTGCATAATTATAAGAAATCATTGTAAATAATGGCAATAATAATTGAAAATATTCAAAGGGTTAAAATAAAAATATAAGACAAATTAACAACACAATTAAGTATTTTTAGTTTAGGGGTAGTCTGTATCAAGTCTCCCTGCTAATCAAAAGGCATACTGTGTCTAGAGGTTCATATCCATCAGGAGATGGTGAGGTCTGTACAAAAAAGTTGAACAGTCTCATCCTGTTATGAGTACAGCCTAGAAAACCTAATGGTGAATCTCTAGAGTTCACCTGATCCAGGCCATAGTCTTTGCAATTATTTGCTATGCATCAGAAAGGTAGACAATGACTAGGGCTGATGCCTTTGAGCTGTGGTGCTGGAGAAGAGTATTGGATATACCATGGATTGTTAGGAGAACAAACAGGTTTATCCCAGTAAGGATAAGGCCAGGCTCCCATTGGAGGCAAAGATTCTGAAGCTTCTTCTGACATACTTTGGACATGTTGCAAGGAGGACCAGCCCTTGGAGAGGGACTTCATGCTTGAGAGGGTGTGGAGGGACAGTGCAAGAGAGGAAGAACCTAGATGAGATGGATTGATTCAGTGACTGGGATAATGGCAGTAGGTGTGTCAGAGACAATATGATTGTCACAGGATAGAGCAGGGTTTAGGACTGTTGTACATAGGATTGTTGCTATGAGTCACAGGCAACCCGACGACACATAACAACAACTGAGTTCAGAATTGACTTGATAGCAGTAAGTTGGAGTTGTTCTTTGTTAAGTTTAGAGATAGAGTAAAAACATTGAATAAATTTATGTATTAATAAATATGATTATAGAGGTGAAGCTATTTAGACTCACCATTCAATGAAAAGAAATGGAGTTATAACTTTACTTGTAGCCAAGATTCTGAATTTTTTAGCATGTAATTAATTGGAGTGTCAACCCTTGATTTTGGATTTTCTTGCCATTGTGTTAGCCCCAGTTGAGGGACATGGACTCCAGCTACCTTGCTGTGAACACATGGCCTTGAAAATCATTTGTGGGACCAATATAAAAGAAAACCTTCCACACTGTGAAAAATGGTGCAAAGGTATTGGAAAGAGAGTGAAGAGACTGTAATACTGCGTTGAGATATAAACCAGAGGAACCTTGGAAATGTAGCCAAAGTTAAAAGATTTTGTTTGGTGAACAAAAACCTGGAAAAGCTGATTTGTAACTGCTCTGAGATGAAGCTTGGTGAGTGATTGAGGAAATCAGAGACTCATTGTATTTGTGCTGTTAAACTGAAACATGAGCTTTTACTAGTTGAGGAATTGAATTTTGTGCTTAATCAGGCTTGATATTATTGGACTAAACCTGAACTTGTATTGATGATATTCTTTGCCTCCTCACTCTAAACTATTTCCCCAACAAACCTCACAACTATAAGTAAAGTTATGAGTCTTACAATGAACATCAGACCCAATAATCGGTAGAAATAGGTACAGGAGCATGTGGGCTGACATATATGACTATGTAGCTATTTGTATGATGCTGTTGGAAACAGGAGTGACATCTGCTTCCTGAACAACATGCCTCTGGAAATTCTATGAACTTAGAGAAACGATGATAATTATAGAAGAGGGTTCGGACCTTTTGTTCATAGGATCACTATGAGTTGTGCTTGAATCGACGGTACTTAACAACAACAATAACAACAACAACATGGACATTCTTGATGGGGACAGTTCCCTTACATGAAACAGGTAGAAATCAGACTAAGCTACCTCCATGTGGCATTTCTCCTTTCTGAATAATTTTGCACAGAAAGCAATTTCCTTTGTTATAATTTGACTATCACTGATGAGAGAAAGTTAAAATCTGTAAATTAAATATCTGTCATTACTTTATATTTAGTTCTTGCAACATGTGTCAGGAAAAGATAAGAACGGCATATTCTCTAGGAATACACCTGACTTTCTGTTTTTTCTCTGAGTGGTAAACAATTGATGCTCTTAATATTCTAATGAAATTAAAAAGCATTAGGATGATACCAAATCGGGGAAGATTCATATTCTTGTTTATAGGGTAGCTTTAGAGTCATTGTGTGGAGGACCCCATTGAGATGGGTTGACGCTCTGACTGCAGCAATGAGCTCAGCTGTAACAGAGATGGTGAGGATGACTCCAAGACACCATGACAGGATTCAGATATGCTGTTCGCAGAGCAGTTATGAGTAGTACTCAACTTGATGGCACCTTACAGCAACAACAACAATAGAGTTGTAGTTGACTCCATGATACCTAACAAAAACAATGAGAATAATCTAGAGATTAAAAGTGCTAAATTTTTGAAATAAATTTCTCAATTGCTGATTTGGATATTTTGTTCTCCTTCTTATACAGAGAAAATTAGTTTTCCATTCAACAATTTATAACACTTTTATAGTATTATTTGTAATTACTTCAATGTAGCAGTAATCTTTTTGCTTCCTCTAACAGTTCTCCTGTTTTCATGTTGTTACACGTCACCTGCACATTATCTTTTATGACTTAATAATTTTCCATTGTATGCATGTCTTAAATTTTATGTATCTATTCATTACCTGATGGACTGCATAGAAATCAGATTGACTACCTCTGTGGGAAAAAGCATTGGAGAAATTCGGTATTAGCAATAAAAACCAGGCCAAAGGTGGACCAGAGAACAGACCATCAATTACTCATGTGCAAGTTCAAAGTGAGGCCAAAGAAAGTGAAAACAAGTCCAGGAGAACCAAAATATGATCTTGCATCTATCCAACCTGAATTTAAAGTTCATCTTAACAATCCTCCCAAAAGCAATCTTCATGTTCAATGCTGTTTCAGTACATACACCAATTTTTTCAAGGAGATTGGAAGGAATATTGTCAAGTTTATTTGAAGAGGAAAGAGACTTCAAATGAACAGTGCACTTCTGAAAAACAAAAATGAAATGGGATGCATAGCACACCCTGATCTCAAAACCTATTACAGACCAGTAGTAACCAAAACAGCATGGTATTGGTACAATGACAGGCACATAGAACAATGGATCAGAATTGAGAACCCAGAAATGAACTCAGCTATCTATGATCAACTGATATTTGACAAGGAAATAAAACCTATTAAATAGGGAAATGACAACCTTTTCAACAAATGGTGCTGGCAAAACTGGACTTCTACCTGCAGAAAGCTGAAACAGGATCCACATCTCATATCATAGACAAAAATCAACTCAAGACCTGGGAGTAAAGCCCCAAACCATAAAGTTCATAAGAGACAAGCTGGGATCAAGTTTAGACAGCATAGTCTATGGTGTAAAGAGACTGCCAAATGCTCAATCTGAGGAGGATGAAATTGATGAATGGGACATTCTAAAGATTTTAAAGATCCTTGGGCACATCAAAAACTTTTCCTAACAGAGTGAAAACCCTACTGATTGGGGAATAAACATTTGGCAATATCATTTCAGGTAAGGGTCTCATAGCAAAAGTTTACAGAATCCTACAGGGCCTCCATAAGAAAAAGACTGATAACACAATTACAAAATTAGGCAAAAGGCATGGAAATAATTTTCACAGAAGATATTCAGGTGGCCAACAGATGCATGAAGAAATGTTCCAAATCAATGGCAATAAGAGATGTAAACCAAAACCACGGTGAGATACCATCTCACTGCAGTACCAGTGACAATGTTTAACAGGACAGCAAACAACAAATGTTGGAGAGGATATGTAGAGATAGGAACTCTTGCACACTGTTGATGGGATTGTAAAATGGTACAATGATTCTGGAGGGAAATTTGACATTTACCCAGAAAGATAAACATGGAAATTCCATATGACCCATCTATTCCACTGCTTGGAATATACCCTGAGAAAATGAGAACTAAGGCACAAATGGAGACTTGTACACCAGTGTTCCTAGCAGTGTTATTCACCATCGCAAGAACATGGAAACAGCCCAAATGTCCGACAACAATCAAATGGATTGAGAAATGATGGTAAAATCACATAATAGAATACGACACAGCACATAGGAGCTTAAGAGGGTTTGGGGAGCATTATGCTAAGTGAATTAACTCAGTCCCATAAGAACAAATACTGTATAAAACCAAATACTGTATAAGAAATATATAACTAGCAAAATGTGTATAAAGATGTATATGGGGGGAGTGGAAGCAGAATAATTAGGATGAGCAGGTGGTGGGGTAATCAGGGGCTTGCACAATTTGTTGGGTGGATGGAGGGATGGTTTAAAGAAATGGGA